CATTTTTATCATCACAAATCGTGTTCCATGAGAAAACTATATATGAGCTCATTTTTTCTTGTGATTGGCTGAGAAAGCTTGTGCCTTGCATATCTATTGCATGGGAGGTGGCATTCTACGCAGCAGCCCTCCAAAATGTGGCCAACTGAATGTAGTGTTAATTTTTTGTATCTCAATAATCAATCCCAAGTGATTATTATTAATTTTTTTATATATAATTTAGGAATAACAATTGCTTTGTGATATAATGGTAGAATTTTATCCTCAGACGTAGCCCATACAGTTAGGGTCGGTTTGGTTGGCCATATAGGACTTGATATCCTAGAAATTGATATTATATCCATAAGTTTAACTTGTTTGGTTGAGTATGAAAAAGCCCATGATATGGTCATGGCCTGTTTTTTTTTCCCTTATTTTTGGTATTGTGTATCTTATCTCTAAGGTCGGATACTGTATCAAGGCGTTTAAGGTGGTTGGGTGAAATGTCTATTTTTACCCCTAATGGGAGAGAGAAACACCTGACTACTCCCAAGATTCGTCCATCTTTGTTTTTTTAGATCCGTCGCATGGTGTTCTTAATTCTGTTCATCTTTGGCGTCATCATCTTCTCCCTCATCAATTCATCAATCACGGCCGCTCCTGAAGGAGGACGAGGAGTTGTCGAAGTTTGTCCTGTCGACGTTTAGGGCCAAGGAGGAAGAGATCAAGAAGAATAAGATGAAGGTCCAGGAAAAACTTCAGGCTCAGCTGGGTCAGATTGACGAGGAGAGAAAGCGATTGGTTACTATACGAGAGGTATTTTGTGATCTTTTTCCTTTTTATTTTTTCTTATTCGTGTTCGGATTATTTTCATTGTTCAGTGATGTGTTTTCCTGCTGTGATTCTAAGGTATTTTGTGAAATTTTTAGTGCGAAACTTGAGGTTCTGGTTACAGTTTGCCCCTTTTGTGTATGCGCGTGTTTATGTTGTTATGTTTCTGAATTTCTATTACAAATTTTAAAACTGCAGAACATTTCAAATTCTAAGTTCTGCTTCTAGAAAGTAATTTTCTAATAATTTCATTCATATTTGCTTTTGATTATTTAGGATCTGTTTGGACCCAAATGATTGAATAAAATATGAGTTATGTAATTTCTCTTTGTACGTCTCAAAATTTTATCCACTACTTGCTGCAATTTAAATATATGTTTCTTTATCAAAACTCAAAAAACGGGCACTTCAAATTGATGAGAAAAATCCACTTCTAAAATAATTTGTATTCTTGTCATTGTTATAATAAGCTTGAACTGGTTTGTGTTACGATCACTTATATAAGCTAAATCAAGACTTATAATTGCTCCATCTAGGAGTGAGGTCTCTGAAGATAGTATTCTATGTTTTGATGCAGCATTGAAGTTCCTACGGATGATGTTCGAGTTGGTGATTCAATCTTGGTCTTACCTAGAGAAACAATGTCTGTAGATGTAAGTTATTATTCATTTGAAGATAACAATATGAAATTATTAAAAGTTGATTCATGTTGCCTGCACCTTGTGTTATACCATTCTCTGCCTGCACCTTGTGTTATACCATTCTCTGCTTGTCTTACTTCCGTTTTAGCAGAGCTAATGTTATTCACTACTTTTCATGTCGAGTGCCTTAATTCTTCAAGACTTAAAACCTGATACTTTGAAGCTATTGCTATATGGTATGAATAATGAGGATCACAAATCAGACCATTAACTAATACCTAGGATGATATTTAGGATGTTTTCATGTTGTGTTCCCATGCAGTTCATAAGCATATCGTTTTAATTTTATTATACTTTCCCCAGCATCATAACGGTACCTCATGAAATTCTTATAATAAGTTATGAAATCCTTTCGTCATACTCTGTAGTTGCCATCTTGCCTTGGAATTTATTTGTGAACATTTTATGGTCCATTAGATTTGGTTTCACTTACCATAATTGTACAAGCTTCTCAAGCTGGTGCATATTTTTCAGGCCGCAAGAAGCTCAACAAGCTGGAGCTCTCGGACTGCGAGATTTATGCTTCTTGCGAGCTATGCCCTATGTGCTTTGATGTCATCCATCTTGATGGGTCGAGTGCTCTAGTTCATTTTCTATGTCGAACGTTATTCTTCTAATTTCCCGATTTTTCGCTAATCTTAAACTTAAGATAAACCCCCCAATTTTTTCCAGAGATTAGTTTATGGAGCTACAGCAGAAGGCCTACAATTGCTATCAGTTTTGAAGACTTCGTTGCTGATGCACTTAGAGGAACTGATTTCTATCAAAAGGCTAATTTATAAATCAAAAGAGATGACGCAACGAGGCCGTGATTGCAAAGCTAAGTGTCGAGAGCAAGTGTTGGTTGTAAAGTAGTATGTGTATTTTAGTTTAATTATTTCTTAACTTTTTGGGTATATATAGCAGAATATTTTCGTGACACGTGTTAATCAATATCTATCTATTATCTATATCTATCTGTCTATATATTCTATCTACAAACGGACGAGTGTTTTTGTAAAAATATGAACTACCTAAAACACTCTTACCTAAATATATATTATACCACTACTATAAAAGGACGAGTGTTTTTGTAAAAATATGAACTACTTAAATCACATTTACTTTAATATATTTTTAATGGCAAATTAGTAATATACTAATATCCATCTCATTTTATATTTTTAATTAATAACTAATATTTACCTAAAAATCATATATTTGACATATTTTTATTGTCAAATTAATAATACACTAATACCTATTTAATATTTAATTAAATAAATACAGTTACACGAATAAAACAATTCCACATTTCTTACAAATCAACCACAATATTTTACGCCATTATTTCTCAAGAATATGCTTTCTTCCAAATATGCATCAAACTGCTTTCTTCTGTATCTCCAAGAAATGAGTTCACCGTTAGCCCAAGCAACAAAGGGTTGAAATGATATAGTATTGTTGTTTTGAAAAAAAAAAGTCCTTATTTTTAGTAAATTTTATTGATAAAATCGTAATCATATTTAATGGTTTTAATATATAAAAGTGAATGATGTAACAAAAACAACATAATAAATACTTATAAAAAACCCAAATATTTTCAACTATTTATTTACCTATATTTTAACAAAATGATAAATCTTGATAAAACATGACAACTTAATTGAAGAGTACCTTGTATATAATAAATAACTTCAAAGATAAATACTTAACTTTAATTAAGAGAATATGCCTAAAATTTTACTGAAATCATGCACACGTGAAATATATACGTAATCTAACAAACTAGAAAAGTGGAAGAATTCATTCAACTACTTCATTATTTTAAGAAAAAAGAACTCTTTTATTTAAAATTAGAATTAGAAATTACACCTTAATTTTCTTGGATTGATTTTTAATCCCACAAAAATCGCCATTTATTTGTTAGTTGGTTTATATTCAAATGTTGGCCGCAAAGCCAATAACGTTAACTAATCTTTATCTAACCATTAGGTGATTAATATCAAATTGCGTAATATTTTAATTTTAACACTTCAAATGTTTGGAGTTTTCCATTCAACTATTAACAAAAATATCATACATTTTAACTATTATTACTTCATTTGAGCAATTGATTTTTACGATGGGCGCTCTATAAACAATGATCATTAAAATTTTTACATATTAAATATTTTATTTATTGATTATTTTAAGATTCTTAAATGCTTTTATGATTTTTTTCAATAAAATTTAAGAGTTTAATTAACTGTAAGTATCCTATCAAATAAGATAACTGTTTCAACAATAGTTATTCAATGTTTTCAATAGCTAATTTTTGTCTTCTAATGTTTCTTTTTTTTTTTTTTTGGTTTTGTTAGTCCCAACGGTGTCTAGTGTGTAGTCTCCCTTGTTGGAGTGGGTTCCGAAAAAAAAAGACATGGACAAACCTAAGTAAAAAAAAACCCATAAGTTATTCGGTCTAAAATACATGACAACTAATAAAAATGCTCTGATATGTTTTCTCTGGTAAAAGAAAAACTAAATTAAGAATAAATGTTGCATGTTCAGGTTTGTACTTCGTTCAAAATAGACTACAGAGCAAATTTGGTCGCATTTTTTGATCGTCACTTAAGTTAGATCTTGTTTACTTTTAATTGCATTTGAAATATTATTTTTTTACAGAAGGCTATTTATTACGTATATATATTTTTTTAAGTGATCTAAAGTATTGTGGGTGCTCTGAAAAATAATATAAAAATAAATAGACCAAAATTTAAAATAACTTATTAAAATGTATACTTTTTATAATAGTTTTTTTGACCCGGCTGCTTTCTTCCGTATCTCCAAAAAATGAGCTCAACGTTAAAAAGCAACAAAGCGTTGAAATGATATAGAATTGTTGTTTTGAAAAAAAAAAATCCTTATTTTTAGTATAATTTATTGATGAAATCGTATTCATATTTAATGGTTATATTATATAAAAGTGAATGATGTAACAAAAACAATATAATAAATACTTATAAAGAACTCAAATATTTTCAACTATTTATTTACCTATATTTTAACAAAACGATAAATCTTGATAAAATATGACAACTTAATTGAGGAGTAACTTGTATATAATAAATAATTTCAAAGATTCATACTTACTTTAATTAAGAGAATATGCTTAAAATTTTACCGAAAACATGCACACGTGAAATATATATGTAATCTAACAAACTAAAAAAGTGGAAGAATTCATTCAACTACTACATTATTTTAAGAAAAATAAACTCTTTTATAAAAAAATATAATTAGAAATTACACCTTAATTTTATTGGATTGAGTTTTAATCCCACAAAAATCGTCATTTATTTGTTAGTTGGTTTGTATTTTCAAATGTTGGTCGCAAAGCCAATAACGTTAACTAACCTTTATCTAACCATTAGGTGATTAATATCAAATTGCGTAATATTTTAATTATTAACACTTAAAATATTTGGAGTTTTTCCATTCAATTATTAATAAAAATATATCATAACATTTTATTTATTATTACTTTATTTGAGCAATTGATTTTTACGATGGGCGCTCTATAAACAATGATCATTAAAATTTTTATATATTAAATATTTTATTTATTGATTATTTTAAAATTCATAAATGCTTTTATGTTTTTTTCAATAAAATTTAAGAGTTTACTTAACTGTAAGTATCCTATCAAATAAGATAACTGTTTCAACAATAGTTATTCAATTTTTCAATGGCTAATTTTTGTCTTCTAATGTTTTTTTATGTGTTTTGTTAGTCTCAACGGTGTCTAGTGTGTAGTCTCCGGTGTTGGAGTGGGTTCGAAAAAAAAAATGGACAAACCTAAGTAAAAAAAAAAAAACCCAAAAGTTATCCGGTCTAGAATACATGATAACCAATAAAAATGTTCTGATACGTTTTCTCTGTTAAAAGAAAAAACTAAATTAAGAATAAATGTTGCATACTTGCATGTGCATGTTTGTATTGGTCCAAAATAGACTAGAGAGTAGATTTGGTCTCATTTTTTTATCGTCACTTAAGTTAGATCTTGTTTATTTTTAATCGCATTGGAAAATATTTTTTTTTATAGAAGACTATTTCTTACGTATATATCCTTTTCTAAGACATTTAAAGTATTGTGAGTGCTCTGAAAAATTATATAGAAAAATATACCGAAATTTAAAATAACTTACTAAAATGTATACTTTTTATCATAGTTTTTACCCAGACCGGCCCGGGGGGTCGATCCGGAGCCGATACCAGTGCGGGTGGGATATTTGAACTGGGAAACAAAGGATCTGGTCAAAACCTTGCCAACTCGGCCTTGTTATTTTATAAAAGTAAGAGATAAATTATTAGAAGGGAAACATCCACTTTTGGTCCTCCATGTTTAGGAGGTATCCAGACTGAGTCTCTATTATTTTTTGGTGCCCAATTTTAGTCCTTAAAACAAAAAAATTTAGTCCCTATTATGTTTTGGTGCCTAATTTTAGTCCTTAAAACAAAAAATGTAGTCCTTGTTATGTTTTGGTGCCCAATTTTAGTCCTTAAAACAAAAAAAATATAGTCCCTATTATGTTTTGGTGTCAAATTTTAGTCCTTAAAATAAAAAAGGTAGTCCCTTTTATGTTTTGGTGCCCAATTTTAGTCCTACAAATAAAAAAAATGTAGTCCTTATTATGTTTTGGTGCCCAATTTTAGTCCTTAAAACAAAAAAATGTCTCTTAACCTCAATTTATGTGAATTAACGGTCCTTTTTTTGTTAATAACATCAAAGTAGTTGTGTAAAATAATTTAAAACATCGCAAAGAGGTAATCAAATTTCAAAGGAACAAATTATTGACCTGATCATAAAAATCACAATACAGTCATAAAAAATAAGTCTTATATTAAAAATAAGTTAAAAGTGAAACTCTTAATTAAAAAAAATAAAAAAATATAAACCCCACAATACCCAAAAATCAGGCCTCCAATGTAATTTCCCCTCTTTGGAAATGAAAATCTTCATTCTTGCGGTAACTCTTGGGTTGGTCTGCACTAAAGGGCTAGGGTTCATATCCCAGATTTGAAAAAGATCAATTGATCGGCCATGGAAGATCATCTAGGGAAAAGAATGAAGTCCTCATGCGACAGATTATCCGAGTTGCCAAAATCCATTTTGCACAATATACTCTGTTTCCTTCCCCAAGAGCACGCCGTCCAAACTTGCGCCCTATCCAAATCATGGCGCGATATTGGCTGCACTCGCCCCAAAATCGAGTTTCACCATGACCCTTATGAAGGGGATGCTCCCTTCAAAAGGGATGAGGACAAGTTCTTGCTGGTTTTGAACAAGACGCTACAAGGTTACCATGACCGAGGGCTTTCCGTACAGGATTTTCTTGTCGAAATATGCAGGTTTGGTCCTAAAATCATTTCCCTGCTTGAAAAATGGATCCCCATAGTCCTGCTGAATATGGGCGTAAAAAGGTTCCATCTTGAATTCTTCTCTGACAAATTCGATATGCCGTCTGTCCTCTTGGAAACCAAATCCCTCGAGGAACTGCATCTTGGGCACTGCCGAATTACTTATCCAGACAAGTTACTTTCTACGAAACTACGAATTCTTTCGCTCGACTTCGTAGATATTGGAGATGAAGCTTTGCGTCAGATAATGTCGGGCTGCCCCTTGATGGAACATGTGAGTCTTTGTGGCTGTCAAGGTCTCACATCCATTAAGGCTCATAATAGTAATCTCAAGCACTTTGAATACATTGATCCTCAAGGTGATAATGTCGTCATAGACATTGATGCACCGAGTTTAGAGAGCATCAGAATTATGAGTCAATCGAGATGGCTTTACCTTGGTAAGTCCTTCATGCATCTCAAGTCCGTTCATCTCGAGTATCTCGTCCTCAACCAGAAGTTTTTTGATATGTGCTCAGCCGACTTGTGCTGTCTTGAGGATTTGGAAATGCACTCTTGCAGTGGCCTTGAAGAATTCCAGCTCTCGAGCCGCTCGATTAAACGATTGCGTTTTCGGGTGGGGAGCCCCACCAAGGCCGTTCTTGACCTCCCAAATATACTTTTTCTCCAGTTGGATTGCATAGTTTTCCCGTCAATCTCGTTGTCAACAGATTCCAGTGAGTGGAGGTCGGAGATTCACTTGATGCGTCCTCTTATTCCCAATAATGATAATGAAGCTGCATCGTTTTTTGATAAGTTACATGAACTGCACAGGGCATTGGGACATTCTCGAATTTCTATGCACATGAGAGTTTTTAATCTGGATTTAGCATTCAGTCATGAGGGTCTTGGAGAACTTCCCGTGATCGAGAGCTTGACTGTAGAGAAAGATTTTACTTTATTTTACCTAAAGGCTTTTTTCATTTATTTTTTTGGTAAATTCCGTCCGAGATATGTAGAACAGTCTGTGGATGCCGTTTTCGAGACTGAAGAGTATGAAGAGGAACCAGACCCCTATGATGAAGAAGAGTATGAAGAGGAACCAGACCCCTATGATGAAGAAGAGTATGAACCTCCACGTCCAGTTTCGGTGACTAAAAAGTATGGAGGAGTCAATGAACTCGTTGATCGTTTGTGCGATATGTTTTTGATGGAGAGTGAAAGGGAGAATTACTATTGGTGGCAGGATTTAGAGGAAGTAAGCGTGGAGGCCCATGACGATGATGGAAAGAAATGGCGTCCTTTGCAAGGAGCGAATATATCTGAATGGGGGTTGCCGAACAATGTGGATCATCAGATTCGCTTTCGACTAAAATGGAGAGGGTCAAGTCTTGACTGATTTATTTAGTAAGTACTTGAGATGCTTCTTTATAATTTAATTAGTTTGAGTAACTTATGGTTTTGATAGCTCATTTCGTGGTTTGTTTTACTATCATTTGCCTTATGGGGACAAGACATTGAAGCTTCTGATTTGGCTGCTTGTTTTGAAGCTGCTATTAGTAATTTGCTTGAAGAATAGCTGCTTCGGGATATAATGATATAATTTCAGTGTCTTCAAAAGCGTAATTTCGCGCTCTATAGCACTTTTTGCTAAAACAACGCGTTGTTCCTGAAAAGCGCACTCAATTTACGCTATATTTTGAGCTATTTATGCTATATGTTGCGCTATTTACGAAATTTTCTAAATTATTCACGCTATTTGGGCAATCTTTATTTTTATAGGCAAAAAAAAAAAAAAAATGTAGTTTTATGTGGGTTTGCTCGTGAGGTTTTTGTACTTTCTCTCATGGCGAATTTGTGATTGTTAAATCATGTTTTGTATTTTTCTTGAAAAAAAAATATTTAAAAAATTGATATCAGCATGGCTAGGATTGAGTTCTTTTTTTTTTTTTTTTTTTTTTTTTTTTTTTTTTTTTTTTTTTTTTTTTTTTTTTTTGTAATTATAATCACGGCTTGTTTATATTTGCTAATCTCAAAAGTGAAATTAGAAGATCACTTCCTTTTTTCTCTAAACGGTGAGGAAATGCAAGAATTTGGTGAAATTGTACTGTGGAATTCTCCCTAACTTTGAAAGTATTGACCAAATTCAATATGATATCACGGATTATTTTTAGGTTTTGAGTCTTTATTTTAAAGATTAAGACTTTAGTTGTTAGTAAGAATAAATATTTGAATATTATTTTATGAAGTTAATGTCCAAGATTATGTTTAGGGCCATTTAAATCATTTATTTGATTGTATGGTTATATATATTATTATTATTTGCATTAAAAGTTAATTGCTCGAATAGCTTGCACAATGCGTACGCTATTTATATTACGCAATATACGAATCAAAACGCGACGCTTTGCGCAATGCACGCTTTAAAACACTGTAATATTTAAAACTGTAATATTTTATCGCCAGACGTAGCCTATACAGTTATAATATTTTAATACCCTATTCATGACATTTCAATATACTATAGCAAAATAAAATAAAATAAAATAAAATAAAAAACATTTTTTTGTTATTATTTGTATTTTGTACACTGTCCGTCCTTATTTATCTAGTTTTGTTTGCATTTATATATTGGTTTGTATATTTATGTCTCTAGCCTTGAGAAGTTAAATAAAAAATAGTCTGAAATTAAGAATAATTAAAAATTTAAATTTTCAATTAATAAAGAATAAAATTCAAATGGTTAAATTGATAGAAATTAAAAATGGCCTTGTAATGAAATATTATTAAATAATAATTATTTAATATTAAAAAATAATTATAAATTAAATATGTAGGTAAAAAAATTAAACAATAATTATAAATGTGATACATTTTGCGTATATGAGTTAGTTGTAAATAATATAAAATTATCTTGTATAAAAGAACATAAAACATGTATGTTTAAAATATTAAAAGCACCTAAAATAAGATATAACCTATTTTAAAATATCTATAATATTATATATTATACTTGAAAAATGTAAAGTCACATAACATTTTTCTAAACTCCTTTGTAAAGACAAAAATGTCTAAAAATACTTAAATTTAATATCTGTACATATAGATATAAATAATTGATATTGACGAAAGATATTGGAAAAGTAATATTTCAAAAAGCATTGTTACTAATTAAATATAAAATTGTACGGAATTTGGAGAATTTTGTAGTAAAGAATTATACCCATAAAATCATTTGATGCACAAAGTTTTGAGAATCTTGTGGTAAAGTGATTTTGTATCTCACATTGTAATGCAAATATAAAAAAAAGTGATTTTGTATCTCTTTTACTTTATTATTGACATTGTTTGTATCCAGTCAGAAGATATTAGAAAAATATTTTTTTTTTTTTTGGTACAGGGATCTTCCGGTTTCCCGATCCACAGGGTAACGGACTAATTCCGAATCGAGCCGGGTAGGACCACAAGGGCGACAAAGCTCTCCCTCAAGAGTTTTAACACTGCTGCATTCTCAGGGCTCGAACACGAGACCACTGGTTAAGCTGGAAGAGACCCAAGCTGTGTTAAATATTTTTATCTTCATATTATACTTGACAATTTTATCCCAATTTTTAGGTAATTGCAATATAATCTCGACCTCAATTTACTTATTGAAAATTTGGGTGCATAGTGATTGATTTTAGGGATTTGTGGATCGATTTTGTGTCCAAGTCTTCCATTGACACGAACATTTATGCCATCCACATAGCAAGTTGACAATTTCCACGTATTTAATGTATATCCACGCACAAAGCCGAAAATTCCATGTCAATGTAAGCTACTGGTGATGAGTCTCCTCCTAGATCTGGAGTGAACCGGTAAATATGAGCTCCGATCTGTTCGAACCGCCTTCAAATCAACCAGTTTTTTGAA